CGGGTGCCCTCCGGGAACTACGTCCATCTTCCATATGTAATATACATTTAATCGTGTAAACCCGGGCGTTGCCCGCGCGGGTCATTCGTCTACAAATTCTCAGTAGTTCACTAATTCAAACCAAAATTTCCATACATAGGTAAAAGAATACTGGGAAGACGATAGGCTATTTTAAAAATTTTGCTTTTTAAAAATTTTGCTGTATCATGTTTGATTATCAGATACAAAATTATATCGGGAAAAATTCCAAAAAACAGAGACCACGGGTGAAACAGGGTACATTTAATAGGGTAAAACCCGGGCGTTGCCCGGGTCATTCGGCTAGTTATAAATATTATCGTTTAGGGAGAGAAAACATATTGAACTTTATGATACTAAATTATACATATATCGAGTAATTATCAAAATTTGAATTATATTTGAAATATATTTACATACAACCATCAGAAAATATGAGTCAAAACTCCCTATATATTGTATCAATTTGGTTCAAGGAAAAACTAGCGAAGCTAAAAAAAAGAAAACAATTACAAAGGATTTAAAAAGCCGCAGACGAGACAAAACTAACAATGTAAGAGATCATTAGGCTGATGACTCATGCAAAATTGATCATTTCCAAATGATATTTATTGACTTCTTTTGGCCACAGACGACTCGTAATTCTAGATAAGAGGCACACAAAGTGGACATTAGAGAAACCAGACGATTCTAGGATTCTGGGGTTCTAACGACTTGGATCAGGGCCAGTTGGAACACCAAGGACGCCTTTTGGAATCAGTGATATGGAATTAAATATTTGGTATTAATAATGAAGAAGGAATTTTCTTTTGTTCACAGAAATTTGCTCGTTAGCAGCGTGTTTAAATAGATACTGGCGTTAATAGGTTAGTTACTTCATGAATAAATAAGCTTTTTGTGGATATTATCATATCTTAATATTCCCCAATATATTACAGTAAGTTTTAAAAGTACGGGGTGGGCAAAAAATGGTCAAATTCAAAACATGAAGAAATATTCTAAAGAAATGTTACATATGAAGAAATTTTCAAAGTTGAATACTATTTATATAAGTACAGTATAAACGGGTCTATAAAAGCGCGAAATGAATTTCCCAATAAGTATTATTAAAAGTAAGAAAAAAGTATTATTACAAAAATAATATAAAGAAATAGCATATATGCAAAATATCAAAACTAAATACTAATTATATAAGTAAATGAATTATCGTGGTATAGCACTGATAAGCAATTTATCGAAACTTTTTACGACAATACTAAGATCAAGACTGAATGAATATGGGTAGAAAGAAGAAACGTCATTCCAGAAAATCAGGCGGGTTTCCGAAGGGGTCGCTCGTGTGTGGATCTGATATTCACATACAACTATCATTGAGAAAAAGAGAGGAATGATATATGTATTTTTTGTTGATTTGAGAAAAGCATTTGATACAGTTCCTCACTCATTACTTTGAAAGAAATTAACCAATCTGGGCGTAAGCTATTGATTTATACACTCAATTAGAAATTACTACGAACAGGCGACTGTGGCAGTCAGATGGAGGGGATCAATTACAGAAAATATCAAGATACATTCGGGAGTTTTACAAGGAGAGCCACTATCGCCATTACTTTTTATATTATTCATGACGGACCTGATTAAAATGTATGACAACTCAGATCTGACGAGTGTATACCTGCCGGAATTTGGTGACGTTCACCTGCTGATGTATGCAGATGATATTGCTATTATAGGGAAGTCAAGGATAAACCTCCAAAAAAAGATTAATATATTGAAAGAATATCATGATGAGAACTATACGACACTGAACGAGTCCAAATAGAAAGTTATGGTATTTCGCAATGGTGGTAAACCCTCAAGAGAAGATAGATGGTACTGGAATGGTAAAGCTCTGATGGTAACAAGAAGATATAATTACTTGGGATACCCTCTGGTCAGTACAACTAAAACCACTCAAGCCGCTAACTCTTTCAAAGGAAAAACATTTGCGGCAATAAAAGCTACAACCCCACAATATTAGCAAAATCAAAAATTAATTCATTAAACTCTGTAATGAAACTGTTTGATTATATTGTGATGGCTGTTTTGATGTATGCTGCTCCAATTTGGGCAAATGAGCATAAATATTTATTGGATCATATACAAGATACATTTATTCGTAGGTTCTTAAATTTGCCTAGATATACACCAGGATACATAATAAGACCAGAAACAGGCCGCGTCTCATTAATAATAACAGCTCTGAAATTGACCTTGAAATACTGGCTGAGGGTGCTGAGTATGGATACAAATAGATTGCCTCGAATATGTTTAAATAGAATGAGGCAAATATCCTGTGCTACAGGTGCGCCCATCGGGTTTATAAAACAATTAAGCAATTTACTCAATAATAACGGATCCTCGTGGCTTACTTATTGTAATGATCCTGATTCACTAAGGAATGAGATCCCAGGAATATTAAGAACTGCGATAGAGCAAACAATACAAAATGACCTAACAAGAATAACCCAATCAAAATTATATTCCCACTATAAAGACATATATGCAACGTTTACCACTGAAGAATATTTCTTAAGTGAACTCCCTTTTCCTGTCATCAGATTAATTGCGCAATTTAGAACCCTTTCATTTTTTTTTCAGAGAACACCATAGGATTTTAATGAGGGGTGAAGACCTGAAATATACTTTCTGTGGATCAGGAATAACAATGGAGATGTTGCACTACTTATTTGATTGTGCTGCTCTGTCTGAGGAAAGACGAAAACTAAATGATTAAACGGGGCAACTTTGTCCTTCATTTCCGGCACTAATTAATGAAATATCAAAGATTAGGTATATAGCGATGGCGATATTTGGATTCCACAAGACTATATCCCGGAAAAAGTCCACACAGTGTTCTCCCCATCCCTTGTGAACTGGCGAATCCTGTATAGGGCGAGATGCCCTAAATAAAGGCTTTGTTGTTGTTATATAAGTAAACGAGTTTATAAAAACTAAATGTTTTTACCAATGGTCTAAACCATTGGCTTTCGACCGCTACGACACAGGATCGAATCCCGCATTGAGAACTGTTTTTATAATTAAAAAATGCTCCAATGGCCCCCGATTCTTTCAAAATTCCAAACCCACCAACGAGTGCAAGTAACAAAATGGGCTCTGGCAAAATTGTAAGTGAAAAAGTTGACTGCGTCCTATATGTGTAGACATGTGGTGCACTTACAGTAAAAGCAGTCGCCAATTTCTTCCCACTATGATTATCATGGCCTGTACCACGTGTCTAGTGATAATAAAAAATATATTTATTTACACTACGAAGGCCAACCAATCAGAGAAAGCCTGGAAGTCGTCTGTAAGTTTTCTTCTTTGTTTACCGAACCCCTGCTTCGTTTGGTTTATCTTGTGTAAGGAACTAAGTTTTATTTGTGTAACAATTTACTAATAAACTCTGAGAGATAATTAACAAAAGCAATAACAAGACTAAGAATGAAACACTACAAAGGAATGACAATACATCCAGATGGCACAAGAACCTACAGGACATGTAACAATTGTCCTGGTGTGGAACTAACACCTTCCTACATATTCTCAAGGCCATCAATGGCCGCAGAAAATTGACATGGACCCAGAACAGCGGCTTTACACACCCAAGATCGAGGACATTGCGACTGCTGTGATAGAAATGTACGGAGACATCTAAGGCTCTTCATTGGACACGACAACAACAACAGAAAATTGACATGGATCCAGAACAGCAGCTTTACACACCTAAGATAATGGACATTGCGACTGCTACGATAGAGATGTACGGAGACATCTAAAGCTCTTCATTGGACACAACAATAACAGAGAATTGACATGGACCCAGAACAGCAGCTTTACACATCCAAGATAGAGAACATTGCAACTGCTGTGATAGAGATGTATGGAGACATCTGAGCTCTTCATTAGGCACGACAGCAACAACAATTAAATTCACTGGCAATGTGTTCCTTTTTAATAATATCATCAAATATCATCTCTACAGACCTTACTGCAATGATAAAAGTTATTAAATGAGAGGGTTTGGCTCATCAATGGTGAACCTTCTCAGCGGTTTCGCCAAATTAGTCTCCAGACCTTTCTACAGGGTATATAAGAAAACCAATACAATACAATTGTAGAGCGGTCTGGAGATTAATTTGGTGAAACCACTGAGAGGATTTACTACTGATAAGCACAAGCCCTTTCATTCAATAACCTTCATCATTGTAGTAAGGTCTGTAGAGATAATACTTCCATAGAAAATACAGGGTATATCCCAAACCAATCCAATCCAATACAATAGTAAAGCGGTCTGGAGATTAATTTGGCGAAACCGCTAAGAGGGTTCACCACTGATGAGCTAAGCCCTCTCATTCAATAACTCTTATCATTGCAGTAAGGTCTGTAGAGATAATATTTGATGATATTATTAAAAGAAACACAGTAAAATTAATTGGTTCAAATTTTATCGATAGATGGCAATTGAATTTATAAAATTAAGTTAAATTCAATGGATTGAACAAAAATGCTTAGCCGCATAGTAATTTATGGCTAATATTTTACACATGGAAGACTGAAGGCATCGTAAACTATACACTAGAACTTCCAGTTAGAGACAATCGCCTAAAACATGGATATACCTTGTCTCTCCAGGAGGTAGTCTCTTATTAGAGGTTGGTTTAAATCACATTGCCATTTTTGATATAATAAAGGTAGTCTCTCAGGTAGGTAGTCTCTTTGTAGTTTATGCGAATATGTAACTAGAGTTGTATGGAATTTATAATTAAGGGAAGAGGCAAAGGATTAAGGAGTAATTCCTAGCGTTAATGAATGGACCAATCAAATTCCTCGGTCCAAAACGCTTTATAATTATTAGCAACATTAAGGTAAAATCTTACTCGAGCTACTGCCCATCAAATATGTATTCAGGTTAATTAGAACTTCTATGATTATATCGTCAAGGTTTGGTAGCCGAGTGGTATAAAGCGTTGATTTTAGACATAAAGACCCAGGTTCGAATCCCGCATTGGTCACTTTTTTAATTAAAAATAAAATTATTGCTTCAATGACCTCTAGTTATTGAAAAAAATTAAACTTCACCATTAATAAGGCACAATTCGGATTATAGATTATAAACATAAGGTAATAAGACCAAATCCAAATAAATAGTGCGTGAAGTTTCGGTAACAGCGTTGTTACCAACTTAAGACAAAAGTACTGAATGAGTACTAAATAAATATTGTGTGACGTTTCGGTAACAACGCTGTTACCGAAACGTCACACATATTTTTTTTTTGGATTTGTTCTTATTACCTTATGTTTATAATCTATAATCCAAATTGTGCCTTATTACTGGTGAAGTTTAATTTTTTCAATAATCAGAGGTCATTGAAGCAAAATTTTATTTTCAATTAAAAAGAAGTGACCAATGCGGGATTCGAACCTGGGTCTTGCTGTCTAAAATCAATGGTTTATACCACTCGGCTACTTACCGAAACGTCACACACTATTTATTTGGATTTGGTCTTATTACCTTGTGTTAACTTCACCAGTAGTGAGTACAAGTAACCAAACGGGAGTTATATATAGAATACTGGCAAGTTTAATAAAATCAATGAAGCATCCAGGGCTAAGTTTCTTGTACAATTCTATTTTTCTAGCTTTTAGGCTAACATGCCCTTCAACTGGAGCAACTAGGAGTATAACACACTATAGTTGCTCCTATTGAAGGGCACATGTTAGCCTGAAAGATAGGTGAATAAAATTATAGAAGAAACATGTGAACGATTGGTATAAAATGTCAAATTTAGAAAGCCAAGACCCAGTTTCGAATCCCGTATTGGAAACCTTTTTTTTTCTAATAAAATTATTGCTTCAATGTCTTCCGATTATTAAAAAAAATCAAACTTTACCAGTGAGTACAAGTAATCAAACGGGGGTTCTAGCATATTTGTAAGTTTAATAAAATAAATAAAGCATTCAGGGCTAAGTTTCTTGTACAATTTTATTTCTCTAGCTTTCGGACTGACATACCCTTTAACAGGAGCAACTAGGAGTATAACTTCTAGCTAATTATAGTATATAGTTGCTCCTGTTAAAAGAGGCATGTTAGCCTGAAAACCAAAGAAATAAAATTGTACAATATATCCGTACAATATATTACAACTACCTCTATTTAACGAATAGATTTAAATAAGTACAAAATGAAGGCGTTATGGAGATCATAATGAATTGTGAAATTTTATGTTATTTATTATTTAATGAAACAACTGAGATTGTTTAATATATATATATATATATATATATGAACAAACAATAGAAAAAAATAAAAGATATGTGGGTCAGGTGTTGATATTAAAAATAAAGAAGGCCTCTCCTGACCACGAGCACATGTGCTTTTTAGATGGCAGAGCGCTATCTAGTGGAACAGAAATCAACTAAATGTTGATTTAACCTGTTCCCTGATATTTGGCCAACCCGATTTCTTGATAAATCAAGAAAAGCCATCACGATCGCGTTTCGCGCTGTTGGCACTCGTCAGCGTGGTGCAGGCTGTACCAAAATATTTTTGGTCCCAGAGGCTTCTTGAGAAACCAAGAAATGGGTATTTAAGGCCAAATTTGCGTAAATACGCTTAACACATGAAAAGAAATTGCCAATATTTCTTTCGGCTGGATGAACGCCAAACCTTTATTAAGGCATTACATTTTTGTATACACAAACTCAGCGACGCATAGTGTTATAATATCACAGTTGAAATAATTTTTTAAAATACAAAGTAGGTGGGGGAAATTTGTGCATGCAAAATTATTTCAAATATATGAAAATTCGAAACTATTATAGACGCGTATGAATCTTTTAAAAATTAAACAATTTCTACTGCTCTTACTGCAATGAAAAATCAATGGGAGGGCCTAGCTCATCAGTGGTGAACTCCCCCAGCGGTTTCGCCAGTTTAATCTACCACTGATGAGCTAGGGGCTCTTCCATTAATTTTTCTATTGCAGTAAGAGCATCAGAAATTATTTAATTTTTAAAAGAATCATACACGTCTATAATAGTTTCGAATTTTCATAACAGATGGCGCGCTAAAATATCATACTATATAAATACATAGACGTCATGAGTGTATTTCTGAGTTTTTTTTGCGTTTTGAAGGATTCATGTCATTTTATAAACTTTCAACTTATTTGATGTTTACGCTGAAGTTACCTGTTTGTTCTGCATTTCGGTTCTTCTTCTGAGGTTTGAGAAAGTTAGCGCAGTCTGAACAGCATCAAATATTGGTCATTTTTGTGAAATATTTCTCTTCTCCTCGATATAGAAACATTTTCAATTATCTAATCAATGATAATTTGAAATATATATCTATATATATATATGTCATAAAAAAGATGTATTTTAGGTACGTTACCAATTCATTCATGCAGTCGTGGATTGAAGTGAAATGATAACTTTTATATCCAAAATTGTATTTATTTTAATGATTATATTTTAAGAACAAAAACAGTTTGCATACATACAATTTAATAATAATATAATCTAAGTATATACAAAAAACATCTTGGGTTGTACTCCTTTTGTTAAGGATTTTAAAAAATTAACTCTGTGTTAATTCTATGATTATTTAAATTATAATTATATTAATGAATAATAAAAATCATATTTTTATTATGTCATATATATATATATATCTATATATATCTATATTCTTTTTGCTTTTTATTTACTAAATGGGCATTCAAAACATTATTTTCTCTTGAAATTAGATTAGATGATCGAAAATGTATTTATAGAATGACATATTATATAGGGTTGTCTCTCCAAATATAAATAGGATATTAAAAAAAAGAGAAATCTTTTTGAAGTCATTGTTACTTTCTTTTATAAAATATTTAATTCCCGATAAAATGTGAGAGCCTAAAGTAAAAGTTTTATTTGGTTAAGAAAATAAAACATTAAAATACGAAAGTTAATCTTTACACATAAATAAAATTTCTACTGTCCTTATTGCAACGAAAAATATATAGGTAGGGCTTGGCCCATCAGTGATGAACCCTCCCAGCGGTTTCGTCAATTTTTTTAATCTACCAGACCGCTTCTTTAGAACTCCAATACTGTATTGGATCGCAGTAAGGACAGTAGAAATTTGATTTATGTGTAAAAAGAAACTTTCTTGTTTACATGTTTTATTTTATTATATATAGATGGCGAGTTATATTGTCTTATAATTTATTTGGTTAGAAGTGTAATCGAATAATTTTCTGAAAAATCGATATTGCTTATGTGGCAATGTCTACTATCCATTTGTGATAGTTCTCTTATCTACTCATGGACAAAACTTAAGGAAATGGAAATCTTAGTTGATGGTCGTCTGTATTTTTTAAGGAGACAGAGTCAATTTTGTTAACACTTGGTTATCTCGTGTGTCTTCAATAAAGGTCACTGTGTATCTTTCAGAGTTATTGTCTGAATTCCGATATACATGCTAAAAGGTTCAACCTCCTTAAGTTTTGTCCATGAGTGTATCTTTCAGAGGTATTGTCTGAATCCCGATATACATGCTAAAAGGTACAACTTACTTAAGTTTTGTCCATGAGTGTATCTTTCAGAGTTATTGTCTGAATCCCGATATACATGCTGAAAGATACACTTCCTTAAGTTTTGTCCATGAGTGTATCCTTCAGAGTTATTGTTTAAATCCCGGTATACATGCTTAAAGATACAACTTCTTTAAGTTTTGTCCATGAGTGTATTTATTCACCAGCAGACCCGTGTCACCTCCGGATGGAGAGAGATGTAGACAACCATAGTTACTGGATAACAGAATGCTTCCATTCAGGATAGGTATTTCCAATCACAAGTATTTGATGGAATGATACACACCGTTCGTTTACCAACACCATGACACGGAATCAAATCCCGCCTTAAATACATTTATTATAAGACGACAATCCCTAATTACTCCAGAAATATTTAAAAGTCCTATCACAACAGCCTTCTTTCTTATTTCCACTCAATCATATCAGAGCATCAAACCTGTAGAGCTTGTTGATGGTGTCTGCTGGGGATGAGTAGAGATCATCAAAAGAGATTTGACAACCATCATAACTGGGTGAAATAGAATGTGTCTGCCTTTGTCATTAAGACCGGGAGCACTACTCAGTAGCAGGCCGACTTAGCTCCAATATGAAATGGCACCTCTGACATGAGGAACAGACGCCATGTGCAGCCACTCCTAACATGGAGTACAGACTCATCCTGTATCCCTGGATCAGGAGCCCTTACAGGGTACTATCAGTTGAGCCCAGGTTTTTAGCAAGCTTGTTACTGCTCCCCTCCTCCTTTTTTAACCGGGCATGGAACCAGCAAAAACGGTCTCACTACAATAGTGAATGCAAGTAACCAAACATGACTTTGAAATTCTGTGAATGCAAAAATCAAACTACTTTCCTCACTTGTAGACATATGGCGCATTTACAGTAAAAGCAATAGCTAACTACCTAAAACGTTTTACCATGACATGTAACACGCCATGTCGATATAAGTTGACAAAAGTAATCCAAAATATAAGCAAATTTGGTATTTCTGCTAGACAAAGTGAAAACAAAAATTTTAGATAATAAAGTAAACGTTTATGGATGAATATATTTTAATAAACGTTTTTCGAGATTTCGGGATAACGCCCTTCTACAGGATTATAATAACATAGACTCATCCTTAGACGTTTACTTTATTATCTAAAATTGTTATACAAAGGATTATATTGTAACAAAGTATTTATTAATTCTATTATTTTTATTAGCAGAGTATTATTTTTTATGTTTATATATTGCTATACTCTGTACACTTCCCTCTTTGCTTATCTTTTGTTTATCACTCATAGTTTGTTCTTGCCTGAAATAAATTGCTGTCTCATCCTGAAGTTTTTGCCTTCCCTAATTTTCCACATGGCAATATTCTAAATTGAAAACAAAATAATAATAGAATCCACAACAGTTTTATATTTATATTTGAATTCGACACAAGGTAA